CGGGACTCGATCCAGGGACTCCAGGATCATGACCTGAGCCGAAGGCAGTCGCTTAACCAACTGAGCCACCCAGGCGCCCAAAATTATGATTAATTTTTAAAATTTATTATTTTTAACAATCTCTACACCCAATGTGGGGCTGGAGCTCACAACCCTGAGATCTAGAGTCACGTGCTCTACGGACTGAGCCAGCCAGGTGCCCCTTTTTTTTAAAAAATATTTTATTTATTTGACAGAGAGATACACAGAGAGAAAGGGAACACAAGCAGGGGGAGTAGGAGAGGGAGAAGCAGGCTTCCCACCGAGCAGGGAGCCTGATGTGGGACTCGATCCCAGGACCCTGGGACCATGACCTGAGCCGAAGGCAGACGCTTAATGACTGAGCCACCCAGGCGCCCTATAACTTATTTTTTTTTTAAAGAATGAAAAACTTGCTGTCACAAAAGATCATAGGGATCGTCTGTAAATACTTAAAAAATAATGAAATTTGCTGCTGGATCCAGAATGTATGGCACACAGAACGACTTCTTAGCTGATAAAACTGTTTTGAGCCTGGTCATTATGCCAGAACAGGAGGCAATGAATCCACTGCTTATGGAGTGCGATTTAGACCCAGGGCCACAAAACAAAGCCTTCCCGTCCCGAGTCCACGCAGAGCTTTGGTCGCAGCCGGGAGTCTGCGGCACTGGCCTCCCTCCCGGAGAGCCGAGGCAGCCCTCATACCTAGAGGCCCCGGCCAGGGCTCAGGAAGGCTGGGGGCGGCTCCCAGTCATGGGGAGGCTGCTCAGCCCCTCACTACCTGAGGTGCCTCAGCGGTGGGTGGGGATCGCAGGCTCCCAGGCCCCCGCAGATCTCCAGGGGACTCCCCAGGACATTCAGACCTGGGCAGCACAGGCTCTCCAGATGTGCTGTTCACTTCTACTGTACAAGTTTTATACACCCCGGACGTAAAGTCAGCACAGCCCAGAGGTGGTGGCTGCCCCCCCCGCCCTGGGCTGCAAGCGGGCACGAGCTTGGTGACCCTCCTGAGCATGCCCGCCCCATGCAGGTGCTGTCGCTAGCCCCACGTCACGGATGAAGCAGCTGAGTGAAGGAGGGCAGAACCGCTGTGCCCCACACAGTGAGCCCAGGCCCTTCAAGGTTGTAAAAGCGCCTCAATCACTGCACGCCCCAAAGCAGGGCAGTTCGGGGGCTTGCCACTGGCCCCACGGCAGAGGCAGCTGGCAGCACCTGAAGACTCTGGGGGTGGGGGTGGACCCCAGGGCTCTGTTACCTTCCCCAGCTTCGCCCTCAGCCTCCTCTCCTCCATCCTCCTCTTCAGCGTTTCCACGTCCTCCTTGGTGCCGTTGAGCACGATGACGTCGTCCTCCTGGAAAGCAGCCCCACACTGGAGAGGGCAGAACACAGAGGAAACTCCATCACCACGCGGTGGGCAGCTCAGCTACCCCCCAGACGCTCCCGGAGCCCAACCACTGCTCTGCGAACCCTCGGGAACTTCCTGCCTGTACCTCGGCTTAGCCAGCTTCTGAGTGTGAGCCCTGCTTTGGCAAGTTCTGTGTCCGGAGTCAGCGTGGCAGGCCCGAGAGGGCTCTGAAAGGGCCTGGCTCTGCAAGGCCAGCCCCACACTGGTGTCTGCGAACCTGGAGGGCGCCCACCATTTCCTAACCGCGTCGGGCTTCTTTCCATCCAGGTGTGCGCCGCGGCCCCGACCCCCAGGTGTGCGCAGGAAGGGCGGTGCAGAGCCGCTGGCTGCTGGTGGGCGTTCGGGAGAAGTCTGCGGCAGGGACCAGCAGTATCTATTCAGCACTCACTGCTGGCTCGTCTCAGGACTCACTTCACGAGAGCCCGGGCTGTGCCCGCCGCACACCACTGGCCCCGGGCTGAAAGGGAAGAAGCCCGCGGAGCTTCTGTCCCAGACGGGGCCCACGCTGGCCAGCCCGACCTGGCGTCAGGGTCTCCGGGAGCGAGGGGACCCTCAGCCGCTGGCCAATTCGGGAGCCCCAGGGTGGGGCCCTGTCACCTGCATTTCTCCCTTGTTCTCAGGTGTTGCAGACGCTGCCTGGGGGGGAACCCTGCTTTGAGAACCCCTGCTCCAGTGTCCGGGAAGATGGCCAACTGGGGGAACCGGGCTCCATCCCAGCAGGAGAGCAGAAGGACCTGTCTGGAGGCAGAGACGGCACTTCAGCTCTCTCCTGGGCCGCTGCCCACTGTCGTTCCCACGGGGGGTGGGGGGGGTCCTGCATTTTCAAAGGCCCGCCTGGGGGGCCCACCCCGCTGGTCACTCTCGGCCTCAGTGACCGCATCTGTTAAATGGGAAGTAAACCGAACTCCCAGCGCGGTCGAGGATGAGGCCAGAATTCAGGGCACCGGCGTCGGGAGCGTAGCACAGGGATGGGCAGCCAACAGTCAACCACTGTGGGCTACAGCTGCGGGTCTGCGCTTTCCTGGAAGACAGCGACCTGTCCCGTCACAGACCATCTCCAGGACACATCTCTGTGTTTCTGACTAGCTTCCCTGGGAGAAACCTCACACGCACATGGCTGTATGTGTCTTGCTGGGGAAAGTGGGCCTCTGTGCCCCTTCATGGAGGGAGAGTGCACGGATTCCTGCTGACACCGCCTGGGTCTCTGTCCCTGACCCTCAGCCACGCAGCCTTACCAGCCTGCTGGGATAAACATGAGCCGTGAGCACAATCACGTGCTGACCCCAGTGAGGCCTCGAGAGCCTACCATGCCCGGAACAGGAACAGCCACAGACCCAGTGTACCCAGAATCTCTTTTCTACAACACATTCTCAGCACAAGACATTGAAGTGCTCTTCTTAAAAAGCTGCCGAGCTTTTCCCAGCACCTCCCAACACACAGGAGAGCCAGTGGACATGTGCTGACCCCCCAAGCGCTGCCTTAGCTCGGTTATTTACTGTGGTTCTCACCTCCAAAACCCACAGCACAGGCCCAAGGCACCTCCTTTCCTAGGAGGGATCTGGTAAGATGTCACAACTGAAGAGACCCCCCCCCCCCACCTTTGGCCCACACATCCTGAGATCAGGGCCACAGAGAAGCCCTATGAACAACAGAAGGGGGGCTGTTACGGCACCTCGCCGGGACTGCCTTCGAAGAAAAGGAGCTTGTTTTTTGCCATCACTGCAGGGAGGCCTCCAGGCTCTGCAGGAGGAGGCCTCCTGGGAAGTCCCACGCTGTGGGAGATTTGGCTAGTCTTCCCTTGGGGGATCTCCTTCTTGAGTAGGGAATGAAAAACGATCCGCAGGAACAGAATCAGGTGGCAGATACGGCCCAGTGGGGCTGGGGCTATGGCGTCAATAACCCTCCCGAGCACAGAACCAAGAGGTAGAAAGGAGTCTCCATTTGTTCCATCAGTCTGCCCCCTCCTCCTTCCCCACTCCGGGCTTTCTGCGGCTGATTTCCACCAGTTCCTGGCACCCCCTTTCCTGGAGTGTCGGCGGTCAACAGTCTCTCTCCTCTACATGTGACTGTTTAGTTGTCTAGATAGGGCTGTGGACCCCATTCTACCTACAGTTGTGGTGTGCTGTGCCCAGAGTTATATTTTTAAAGTTGAATTAGACACTAAGCATAAAAAGTCGGGAACCTCTCATGCTAAAAATTGAGATATCTTGCTTTCTCCCCCAAATTCAAATGATCCATTAATACTAAACCCACACTCTCAAGGCCTCAGTTGCTGGGACCTGAGAAGGGCTGCCCCCTAGAGCCTGGGCACGACCCTCCCACTGGCGGCAGGCCCTGTCACGCTCCTGGTGTGTGCCTGACCCTGGCAGGCTGCTGCCTGACCCCCGGAACTTGGGTGGGGGACCCATCCGTTGGGAGCATGTGAAGCCAGAGCAGGAAGCAGATTTCCATCCACGGTGCCAGTGGCCACGCTGGGGCTCTTCTCTACGTACTGAAGGGTTGAGGGAGGGTTACTTTCGAAAGTGAGGGGAGGGCTGCGGCAGAGACACAGCCGACCCAAAGGGCCGGACCCTCTCTGCTTATAAAGTAACACATATCATAAGCGAAAAACACCCATATTTTCCTGCAAACACATTTTTCCATGTGTACAGTTACTGCACAGGTGAAATCATGTCTTTATTTTAAATTAGCCTCCTTTTATCACTTATAACTTAGATGTCCCCAAAATAGAGAAAATAAATCACAGCACATTCTTAAAAAGGAAGGGCAGAGAGTTATTTCAGAGTTTCTGACAACGTAGAAAGTGTCTATTAAGCTAAAAGAAAACGACTACAAATTACATATCCCTGATCTCTGGATATTCATTTTTTTTTTTTTAAAGCATTAGGAAAAAAAAAAGCCAGCAGGAAAGTGCCGCGGGAACGGGTAGAATTACGATAACATGCTACTCTATCTGCAGATCTGGATCACGAACAATTGGAAAAGTGGTTTCTCAATCACTGTTCTTACAAATAATATTTGCAACAAACACCGGCATGCATCTCAGACCGCAAAATCCCCCTTGTGGGACTCGTTTATTCTCCACCACCGAAGCCTGTTTCCTGTGTAGTACTCTGTGGCACACAGTAAATGAACGTGTGCCTGTATGTGCGTACTGACTTTCAAAACAGTGCTTCCCTCTGTCATACCGTAAGCTCCAAGAGGGACAGACTGGCCGTTATCCGACTCGGCTGTGGCCCAGGGGTAAGCCCAGGGCCCTGCACACAGTGGGCACCCGGGAACTAGTTGCCGCGTGCATGAATGAAAACACAGCCCGGAGAAATACTTCAAACCAGGATGAAAGGGAATAATACTTTAAAGCCAAATAGTTCCCCTGAAAGGTCGTATGAACTTTACACTCCCTACCACATGTAAGAGTGCCCATCACACCATATAATTTGAAGGAACAAAGACACACTGATCTGAAAGGTAAAAGAAGGTAGCTCCTTTTTGGCTTCAATTAAGAAACAAAAATCCCCACTGCATTCCTACTGCCTCTCTCGCAGATTATGTGTATATGCTGTAGGTCCACTTTATTTATTAGGATCTTTTTAAAGAGTTTATTTGAGAGAGAGTGAGAGCGAGCATGCGCCGGGGGG